TGTAGCCCAGGCTGGAGTGCAGTGGCTCGATCTCAGCTCACTGCAACCCCCGCCTCCCGGGTTCAAGGGATTCTCCTGCCTCAGCCTCCCGAGTAGCTGGAACTATAGGCGCCCGCCACCACGCCTGGCTAATTTTTGTATTTTTAGTAGAGACGGGGTTTCACCATGTTACCCAGGCTGGTCTTGAATTCCTCACCTTGTGATTCGCCTGCCTCAGCCTCCCAAAGTGCCCACCGTGCTTGGCCCCAGGCCAAAAGCTTCTTATCCAGTAGACACCAGGGGATCGTTCCCAGGAGGTGGAGGAGGGCAGGAGGGGAGAGAGAGAATTGAAGTCTTAAATAGGGGTAAAGGAGTTTTGGGGGGCAGGGATCCCAAAATGAAAAAGACCCATTTTTCCCTGGACTGGAAGGAGCCCTAGAAATCCTCAGTGGAGATTTCCACAGGAAGAAAACTAGCTTGTGCTTCTCCTGGGTCCTGGTCCCAGGGAACCAATCATAAATCAGTGCAGGGCCAACAGCAGAGGTGACGTGAGCAGAGAGGCACCCAGAAAGGCTGCTCTGACAGCTGGGAGACATGGGGTGGCAGAACCTGGGCCTGAGAGCTGTGGTGGGAACCAAGGTGGCCAGGCCTGGACCAGGACTAGGGAGTCCATGGGAGCAATGAGAAGCGGATGGGACAGAGAGGCCCTTGGAGGCTGGTGTGGGCAGTGGGGAGAGGGGTGAGTGAGCGGAGTGGGAGTAATGGGGGTGAATGAGCTGGGGAGAAGGAGCAGGGTCTGGGTGGTCCCAGTCAGGGCATAGGCTAGGGAAACACCAGGAAAATCCCCAAAGACAAGAGTCCTGAGAGGAATTCAAGCTGTGGCACAAAAGAAATTAACTGTGGAGTATGGAAATTGCAACCCAAACCCAAGTCAAATGGAGAAGCCTTCTAGAAACGAAGCACTGTGGATAGACTCTCTACAAAGTGCTCACTTTCCCAGAGGAGAAGGAACCTTCTGAAATCTGAGCTAGAAATGAAGATGCCCTCATACCCACTCTGAGCTCTGCTCAGAGGCTCCTAAGAGGGCTCCCTTATTAAAATAAAATAATTTCACAATGAAGTGAATAACACAGTTTAGTAATCTGCAACAGAAATACACATGATTATCAGTACCCCTGAGATGAAAACTGAGTGGCTCATTCGGAGCTAAACGTTTGACCACTGACGTCTATAACAGAGTGAAGTGTTCCTGGGATACCGAGAAGGAATACTGGTGACCCAGCTCTCAGGGCTGGGAGTTCAAGAGCCTGAACAAAGGCATGAGAGATTTGGTTGGTAGCAAGAGCCCAGTATCACCCAGAGTTCTTGGGAAGCTATTCAACAAGTTTTTCTAATCGCTTTCTTGGGTGTGCAGCTGTGGTTCTTCCCTTGAAGAAACCAGAAAATTGAGTCAGGTGTGGAGAAGGTGGAAGGGTCGTGGCAGATGCCATGCTCAGCCTGGGGCAATGGGCATCCGAGCCCGAGTGGCAGCTTCCCTGCGGTGGGGGTGGGGGTGTGGAGATGGGCAAGGTTCGCAGGAGTTCCTGTGGGCCAGAGACAAGAGAGGCCAGTCAGCTTCTGGAAGCTGAAAGGACCAGGAGGGCCTTTTAAGAATGAGAAGGTCCTGGGTGGTGGTGCTGGAGGGGCTGCTGGCAGTGGAGAGGGTAAGAACCTGGGGGGCAAACGTGGAGGTGGAAATTCTGCTCCTGTTTGGGAAAGGGCAGGACAAGGGCAGGCACTCTGACCTGGAGTGGGCTCTCCTGGGGACAGACTCCAATGCCAAAGGGACGCTCCCCAGCCTCACACGCCTCAGCTTTGGATTGTTCCACACAGATAAAGACGATGAGGTTTCAAGAGCTTTGGGGTGTTCAGTAAGGCAGCCAGCTTAGGCTTCAGAAAGGTGCTATTCTACAGGGACCGAGTGTGTGCAGCAGGGCCAGGAGGGGCATTCTCGTGGCCTTGTTTGCCACTCCCCTGCTTCCTTTCTGGGGTGGCCTTCACTAGTTCCCCTACCGTCTCCCCCAGTTCTGTCCTGCCCAGGCCCTGGGAGGAACCCAGCTGCTTTCAGGGCACAGCAGCTGAGGGGTTCGCAGCACATTCTGGCACAGGCCGGCAGGGCAGCGACCATCACATCTTCTGGCTCTAGGTGCACTGGGCAAGAGCCTGGGGAATGAGGGCACTTTCTGAACCAGCTTCCAGGACAAAGGGAAGGAGGCCACTGTGCCAATGTGAATATTAAACTCCCACACTTGGAGAAGGAACATCTACCACATACATCCTCCATGAGGCAAAGAATAGGCTGGTGGACACATCTGCAGTTAAGATGCCAGATAAAGGTTAAGACTCAGGTGTGACCTTGCAGGTGCACCTGACCCAAATGTGCCCAAGCCCAGAACAGTGACCATCAATACAATGGCAGTGATAACTGGTAGGGAGGGCAGTGGCCTTCAGGGCTGAGTGCTCACTTCAGGATCCATTGCTCCTGGATCTCACCTTTCTGCAGGGGAAAAGCAAGAACCCATGAGTGCCTGGCCTGGGGTCAAGCGGAGCTGTTCCTACCCCGTGCCCATCTGGCCCCAGCTACTTACAGAGGATGGGCTCAGGTGCCAGTAGATTTCAAGGATGATGTTCAAGAATTGCCTTTAGTCTTGATTCTAATGGCCATTGCGGGTAGGGGCTTTTGGAGGCTGAGGGGAAGGAGGATGACGAGGAAGGAGAGGCAAAATGGTCTCCACATTAATCTGCTGCTCAGAGGTACCGTGGTCTTCCCTAACCTGTGTGGATCTGAAGTGGCCTGGTCCGCATCCTCTGTAAAGGCCCAGCACAGTGGTGTGGGGGAGCTGTGCAGGGGATGCAGGGGGTGTGGGGGTTGGGGGAATGGTGGGGCATGGGGAAAAGCCCCAGATGGACTGATACTCTTTTTCTGATATGGAACCTCCAAGACAAACAGATGAACTTATTTATCATTTTCTGTAAATAAAAGATCAGTAAAGCTGGAAAAAGTGTTTACAAAGGATTTTCCTCACCTCACCAAGGAAGATAAGACAGAGTGTGCACGGCTGAGAGGCAGCCTGGCTCTGAGCTCACCTGGGCCTGTCTGTGTCTCTGCCCAGTTGGCATCTGCTCTTGCCCTTCCCTGGACAGCTCTGACCTCCAGCCACCCATCCAGGCTGGCCCTTTCCCTCTCTGCCTGGGAGGCAGACAAGACTTGGCCTGGCAACATCATCGACACAACTAATACTCCATGTGAAGTCTCCCCCACTTAGAAGAGCATTTCCTGAGGGCCTGGGCTGCCAAGTTCTTAGTATTTATGCCCCAACATTGTCACTTCATAGTTCAGGGGCAGCTTCTTTGAGAATGGAGAGCTCTTGGTTTTGTCTGCAGTAGATATGATACATGCAATAGGAATGCATGTTCCAAAGCTTTGTATTCCAGGTGGGTAACAAGAGTGTGACAGGCACTGAAAGCCCATACACTTATTAATAACAATAGTAATGACATGGCTGTCCCAAGTACCCAGATATTGGATGCCTGGATAGGAGGCTTGAGGCCAATAGATGGAGCAGCCGCAGCCCCAAGCCCAGCACTCCCTAGGGAGCACTTCT